CGAGATTAGGATTTTCTTTTGGGAATATTTCAATTGTAGGCACTTTTGTAGCTAAATTTTTATTTAAAATTAATTTCCCAGGCCCGGAAAGAGAGAGTGCCCTAGGAGCGAGGTTGTACCGTTTATACTCGTCCCCAGGGTCATCTCCGCTTTCAAGATGGCGGGCGAGTGGTTTATAGCGATAGTTTAGTGATAGTCGGGCGCGAGATCTATGTTTCTTGGCGAAAAGTTGACGACCTCCCAGACCAGTTGAAGAAAAAAAAAATACTCGCATAAATGGCTCGCATGACTCGCATGGCTCATACCGTGGCTCGCAGATTTAGCAGACCCCGTCTGTTCGCGATATTTAGTGTATTTAGAGGCTCTCGCTATTCGTACAATACATTTGGAGTTTGACTTAGCAGATATATTTTCTGGCCACTTGAAAGCCCAACTTTTGGTCTTATCTAGCAAGTTGTATTTACAGTACATTGTTACTTAATAGCCTCAGTGATTGGTTTTCACTGTCACGCCATTGAAAATAAAAATCGGAACTATTTAATAATTTAAGTCAAGAATCCGGGATATGATAGATGATCAATATATAAAAAGCCCTGCCAAGATTCAGGTCTGGTTTTCATTTGCACGTTATTCAAAAAAGACCAGTGTTTCGGCCAAATTTATAAAGCTTTTTTTGGAAACTCCATGTTTGTTTGTGCCCGTCAAAGGCGCACCAACATGGTGGCCAGAAAGTAACTGAAACATCTGTCATTGAGTATTGAGTTTTGTAATTGAAATGAAAAGTTATTTCTCTAGAGATCCAACACATTGAAATTAATACTTCTTCAAGGGCAAGAACCGATCAGTTAGCAAAAACTTGAGTGCTAACTCATATTTTGACCTTTGTGAGAACCTTCTCAGGCTGCCATTTTTGTTGAGTTTTGACAAACTGTATGTATTAAACATTGAGTCCATAGCTTACACAACTAGACATGTCTAGACACTAGGGTTCATTTACAATTCTATGTATTTTTCAGTGCTAAGCCAAGACTTCATTGTGATTTGCAATTCAACTGACATATTGGAATTAAGCCCCCTCTCTGCCACAATGTCGGAAGTCGTAGCAGGCTCAATTATTGCGCATGTTGTTTACTGAGCCTACAATACCTCATAATAAAGAAGCTACTCAAACAAACTTGTTGGTCCTAGAATGGCTTGTTTCTTTTGTTATAACTATCCATTCACATAAATGGTATATTTCATCCACAAGTAAGGTCAATTTTCCTTTGAGGTTAAAAGGTTGACAGAAGAAAAGGTGAGTAACCCACTGGTGAACAGTTCTTAATATCTGGTTGCCAGCACTCTACATTTTGATTGCATTGGTGGCCAGTGAGTCCCAATTTCGTGCCCTGTCTTTTGGAATTTGTGTTACAAATGTTCTAGGCTAGACACACTTCAAGTAAAATTGTCCTGTGTAACAAGGCCTTTCAAAACCTTAAATTGTTGCTTGAAGAAACTGGTGGACAAGGTATTAAAAATGTATGTTTTTTTACTTGAAGGTGTGTGCCCTTCATGTGACTGAGGGAGCCCGTGCAAGGATTTTGAAGGCTGGTGGGGAAGTAATCACCTTTGACCAGTTGGCATTAAGGGCCCCAAAGGGGAACAACACTGTGCTGCTTCAAGGTGATCTGAAAAAAAAAATTTGTTAACTGTGGCCTTGTTCTAGCTGGGCAAGTGGGGACATACAAAGGACTTCTTCTGGGGACAAAACAGGCACAAATCCCTTGTGCTATATTTCACCCAAGGGAACATTTTTGTAGACACTATTACATGGCTCTATAAATTTTGCATTCATTCCTCTACAACAGGGGTTTAATTAACATTTTCAGCAGGAGAACAACTGGTTTTCACAGGCAGGCAAAACTTTTTGAACTGAAGTTCTTTATAAGAACTTTCCCCTGGATGATCAAACCAGGCTGGCAAAATCATCCTCACAGCCTGCCTGGTGCCCAGCCCTTAATGAAACCCCTGCTGCGGTAATGTAATTAATATTCTATGAAAGTGGATAATCACATTAAAATTTGGTTCGTCAATGGAACCTGATTTCTCAGTGAGATCAGTTCAGGTTGGTGGGATACATGATGATGCTCACACAGTGTTTAATCCATTGATGCCTGCATGAAATTGCCTGTGACCCACCCCTAATTCCCTGGTGTTTTTGTGAAATATTTCAGAGCGAGCGAAAGCACAAAAATAAACCATACGGGGAGTAACCACAGACACAAGATCAGGTTTCAAGACTTCGTTTATTTTATAAATGAAGGGCCAAAATATTAAAAAATATCAACAAAGAGAACTCAACTTGATCTGTAAAACTGATAAGGAAACAAGAAATTATATTTTTTTCTTTGCCACACGACAGCCAAGAAAATTGAATACGCAAAAATGAGTTAATTTTTTACTTCAGAGGACAAAACAAAACCAAATACAACAGAATTTCCATTCTTTTACTATGACGGATAACATTTGAGAAAACGCCAGAAAATAAAGGCAAAAGACACATGTAAAAACCAGTGGAAAAAAAAAGAAATCAGATAATTTCTTTGCCGCGCAACCAAATAATACAGTGCAGCAAAAGAAACATGAAAGTTGTACATCAAAAAGACAACTAAAACAAGCCAATTATTTTGAGATAAATCATATTTCAACTGTGTCAATTTAGTTCCCGCTTAGTTCTTTTCTCAGGAGTTCTGTAGTAGCTGAATAAGACTCCCAAAAAATATATTTGAATGAATCGAATAAACTAAACAAACAAACCATGGGGGTCACCATAAATTAAATTTGCAGAAATCCAGCGTGCAAAAATACTGTCCCCTTTTAAAACCTAAAATTCCCAAATAAAGGCAACCAAATGAAAGAAACGTGACAGGAAGTTCAAAAACAATAAATTTTCATTCAAGATAAAAGCATAAAAATGTTCAAAATTTTGCAGACGTGCTTCGCTGCATGACCGCATGTTCAAAGTAATTCTTCATGCTAAAGCGAAAGCTTGAGATTTTGCCGACAAGTTTTGCAGTTATTTTATCGGCCGTGGCTTTACCAATTGTTCTAAAAGTTGAATTTAACTTCGAAGTAATACTGTACATTACCATTTTTGTTTTCTTGAAGGAGAAGGTCACTCCAAAAACCGTGTACCCTATTTACCCTTGTATAATGCGCACCCGTATATAATGCGCACCCTGATTTTCCAGACAATTTTTGAAAATAAGTACCCACCAAAACAAAAAATCCTTGTTCAACAAAAGACAAACAATGTGTGTATTCTATTGCAACAGTTTAATAACATGAACTTTCAAGCTTACAGTACTCAGGTAATTAGTGTTGACCTGCCGGTAAACTTTTCTAAATCACAAAGCAATTATTTACAACAGTTTCGAAGTGAGCGCTAATTTTAGGATTGTTAACTGTACCTCAAAACCTGTAAAAATCCTCTGACTCCAAGTCAGATGTGAAGAGCTCATCTACAAGAACCTCATCT